TATGGTATCCTTCCTCCATCCTATACATCCCTAATTCTTTGAGGCAGACTAAAGGGGACCCTTCCACATATCCATTTACTCATTTCTTAGGCTCCACACACTGCGCTGAGAATGTATCAGGCCACCATTGTATTTTAGTCCCGAAAGATGGGACAACAGCATAAGCATTGAGGCACCAAGGACTCCTGCCATAAGGTGATTCGCCATCTTCATAAATCTGTAACTAATCTATAATAATAAAAGCATACTATGCAAATCGACCGAATGTCTGAATAGCAGAATGACCATCCGGATGACACCTTATGACATGCACTGGTGCCAGGCCAGCCAAGGCCAGTGCAATGCAATTAGTTGGGGGGCCCCTGCCATCACCCCACAGATGGAGGCCCAGGCCATGGGCTGGCAGGGCAATCAATTGGGGGGGGGGGAGTAATGGGGAGCCCTACATGATCGCCCTACAAAGAGATGGATGTGGGAGGAGGGGGCTCCATAATCAATAGCATTGCAGAGGGAGGCCCAGGCACCGACCAGCTAGCTGTGGTGGGTAGACGGGGCCTCCCTATACAGGGTGAGCGATCACAGGGCTCCCGGACTGCAAGAGGGCGCAGGTCAGGCTGAGGGACACCCCTCTGAGTGCATGAATTTTGTGCACTGGGCCTCTATTATTTTATAAAAGTGGCTCTTTCCCTGAGCAGGAGGATAACCTAAGCTGTCAGAAGATTCAAAATCAAAACAGAACAAAAACAAAACCCAAAAAAAGACTACCATTTCTAAAGAGGAACAGAAGTGCCCACTTTACTGTAGTATAATATTCAGATGGGAGAGAGAGATAGGCTAGAGCCCACTGTAAATTATTTCACCAATACTATTTCCCCACAATGCTCTCTTCCTGATCAATTTTAGTTTAAGGAGCTTACTCTCCCCCACCCCTATCTGCAATTTCACAGTAATTATTTGTATACATTAGTCAAATTTAGAATTAACAAGAAAAATTGTGTGAAGTGGTGGGAGTGATTATATAAAAAGGTTTAATAAGGCCCAATTTAGTGTGATTACAGTGACAATGCACATAAAAATGCAAAGAACATGGGTATATGAAGCATGTGGGACATTACGAGGTACCATTTCAATCTTTTTAATTCCCTCTCCATTATTTCTAGTTTAAAAAATAGCTGGCTCCTTCTCAATAAAATAATGAATACAGCAACCACCAACTAGAAACCTATGGACTCCTGGCTAACCAAAATGATTGCCACTTTAAGTCTAGCACATATGAGAGAGTTATAATTTGAGAATTATAGTTTGTAAACCCACAGCTATGCGAGTGAATGCACTGAATCTCTTCTGTGGGTATCATATTTACCAGAGTCTCCCTACCTTCTAACCACCGTGAACTTCTTTTATCACCTTTTTTCTCCCGAATCTCAATTTTTTCCAAAGGTTCAACAAACCAATTGCCTAAAGCAACAATGACTTGCTTTATCTGTGTCCTTGTTTCCCAGTTTCAGCACTGATCCCACCTTTAACCAATGATACAGAACCACCCAAAGTTCATCTTTACTGCCCTTAGCAGTGTGACAGTGCCGAGGTAATCAAGGTAAATAAGCATCAGAAGCTTACGTCCTGCTCAGACAAAGCTGTTTTGCCATTGGCAATCTGCTTCACACTCTTATTACGTATGAATGTCCACTTAGGACGTGTGCCCACTGGTGCTGAGCCTTATCAGTGCCCGGTCCACACGCCACCACCACCCAGAATTTCTTGTGCAGTCAGACAGAGAGCCTAACTGGCCTAGGGTGACAACTGCTGTTCCTCAGCATTGAAATTTCCCAGCCAAAATCACAGACAGACCTGTTTTGGTGAACTGTGAGTTTAAAGCTGTTAAGCTTTCTCATATAACTCGTGGATGAGCCCTTCATTAGCTTTGTGGGCCTTTGGAGCCAAGTGAAAAACAGCACTGCGGCTCCTCTGAGGCCACCAGCCCTCACAGTGAGAGGGCTCTGACTAGCAAGGTAAGGCTCTCATCTCCCATTTTCTTCACTTATAAAATGAGGACCCTTTTTTCAGGTCCCAATTTCTGAGTTCTAAATTCACCACGTTGAAAGAAGTGACTTGGGATGGGAAACACACAATACAATATACAGATGATGTGTTGTAGAATTGTATACCTGAAACTTGTATAATTTTATTAACTAGTTATATTTAAAAAAAAAAAAAAAGGAGTAGCAATATGCATTTCAATGAGCAATTTAAGCTATTAAATCCTTTTATGGGATGTCTGCCTACTTGAATTCAGTATAAAAATATACAACAGATTGTAATTATCCTGTTATTTCCTCTGCATAACCCAACTGTATAATTCAAGACTGGCTTGTGCATCAAATTCCCAAAAACATAGTTTATTCCCTTTTCATGTTGTCCAGGAGGAAATCTGTCAAGAATTGCTCCATGCTGAAACCAGTTTGGCTCAGTGAATGGAGCGTCGGCCTGCGGACTGAAAGGTCCCGGGTTCGATTCCAGTCAAGGACATGTACCTTGGTTGCAGGCACATCCCCAGTGAGGGGGGGCACAATCTGTGTTTCTCTCTCATCGGTGTTTCTAACTATCTCTCTCTTCCTCTCTGTAAAAAAAATCAATAAAATATATTAAAAAAAAAAAAAAAAAAAAGAATTGCTCCAGTTTCTCTTAACAAACAATGTGTTAAAAAAAATAAAAAGGTATGAAGTGCCTAGTGAATAAGTTTGACTCTTACTTAGGTTGTTGTAGGGTTTCCTCCTAAATAAATAAATAAATAAATAAATATAAAAATAAATCACAAAAGTTAATCTGACCGCACTCAAGGCTCTCAACATTTAGAAAAATTTCCAAGTATTCCAAATTATTTCTGAGCAGAACATATGCGGTGGTGTCGGGAATGCACCTGTTTGCCAACACAATTTCTGGAGAAACATCCCACACTCTGCAGGGCATATCTCATTCTACTGCACTTTGCTTTACTGCGCTTCACAGATGTGTGGGTTTGGGGCTCTTTTCTGTTTCTGTTTTGGGGGAGGAGGTGGTGTAAGCTGAAGACAAGACCCTCCAGCAGCAGAATGATTAAATCTCGCTTTATTGAGGTGGTCTGGAAGGGAACCTGCAACATCTGAGGGATGTAATTGAACAGGTGTCCTCAGAGAGATCTGCCTTAGCTGAAAGAGCAAGGGAGTATTTGTTTCTCTACCAAAATCAAACAAGCACACACAGTATGAATCAGCTACTAATAAGTTGCAAAAAATATTTTCAAAATATTCCAAATGGGACGGCATCTTAATGTCACCAAACTTTTGTGTGTGTGTGTTTTTTTTGTTTTTTTTTTTAAGACTTGAACGCACCAAAAACAAGTGCTAATGCAATGAGTGAAAAACACTGGGACTGGATGATAGTCGTGAACTTGATATGACTACTTATCACAGGGTGCCCCCCAAAATGTACATGCATTTGAACAGCTGACAGCTCAATTTTGAAAATGAAACATATTTTAATGAACACTGCCTTTAGAATTATTCAAAGTGTGTGCATACATTTGGGGGGGCACCTGTATTTGTCAAAAGTTACACTTGGTTTAAGAATGACTACTGAAATTGACAGTCACTTGACCTACAGAATTGGGAAGAGGTTAGGAAGTGATTGCATCTCCTTAGCAAGCTTCAGAAGAGAGAAAGCATGGTACTGGCCTAGGGGTGAATGGAATGCTCATTCCTCCTGGATGCACTCAAATCTGATCAGAGAAATGGGGTCACCAATGATACCAATTGGTCTGGGATTAGAAATGCTACTCTGACACCTTTCTCTCCTCCAAAAACCAGAGGTCTACTCAGGCGATCCCTAACACTTTCCCTTCCCGGGGGGCTGTGACTCTGAAGTGGGTTAGGTATTGTTGAAGGATCTGTGTCATTAGCTTCCAGCTGCAGAAAAGCATCCTATGAGTATGCCCTGGAAATGAACGATTCAAAACAGCTGCTCAGGTTGGGCCTGCTTTAGGAGAATGGGTACACAGGGTGAGGATGGTCTGGGGAGACTGCATAGCCACTGAAATGAAGGTTTTCAAAACTTAATCCCAAAGCTCTCCAAATGTCGAAGTGCCTCCTCCGCTAAAGTTAATACTGCAGGAAACTAACAAACACATGTGCATCTAGGTGTGCATGCATGCCTTGAGCGATCTCTAAGTCTCCACATCGGGTCCCAAACCAAGGAGACTGTTATATATTTCTACTGAGGTTCTGTGGAAAACAACCCAACTGAGGCAATTTGAGCCATTAGTCTGCTACAGGACATTAAATCCCTGGGGTCTTCGGCACTCATTTCACCTGAAACCAACTTCCTACCTCTTGGGCGGACAGAGGAGGGGAGGAGAAGTGGGGAGGGGGCATTTGTTTTGCAGTGGTTAAGAGCCAATCCTTTATTTTTTCCCAATAGTGCGTTTCCCTGGGCCTGGCTGCGTACAAAGCTGCGTGCCTTTCGCAGTGTTTGGAATTGAGGTCCCAGTTTATAAAGCTGTCCAGGTCGGAAGCTTGTCCATTTCACTTTCCCAGTCACCCAGGAACATCTCCCACGCCTTCGCCCTAGTGAAGACTTCCCTCTAACCGAGTGCAAGTGTCCGGATTCCACCTGTTTTGCGGGCTAAACTGCACGCTCCCCCGGACCTCCGGCAGCCAGGGCCAGCTCCAGCCGGGCTGGGCGAGCAGGAGGCACCTCAGCCCGGGGAAATTCAGGTGGATGGGGGGTTGCGATCGCTTGCAGCTGGATGCCCCGCCGCTGCGCTGCCCGGACCATCTCGGTCTCCCGGGCGCCAGGCTGGCCGAGCCCGGGGCGATGGTGCATCCGCTGCAACCGATCCCCGGCGGGCTAAGGCACTGTCCCCCCGCAAAGGCGTCCCTGCCCCCAAAGACGATTAAAAGCCCCGCGTCCTGCGCGGAGCAGCGGCCGGGGAGCGGGGAGCGGGGGTCCCGCCCGCCACTCACCTTCTGCTGCCGGCGGGCCATGTCGGTGGGCTGCTTGGCGTTGAAGGGGTACGCGATGCACCGCACCACGAAGACGTAGAGCTGCAGGCGGACCCTGCGCTCCTGCTCCTCGTCCAGCTGCCTCTCGGGCTCGTCTCTCCCCTCGCTGACCACCGAGGGGCTGGGGCTCCCGGGCCGGACCGCGCCGCCGCCGCCGCCGCCGCCCGCGCGCCCTTCCCGGGCCGGGGCGCCCAGCGACCCGCCCGCCGCCGCCGGCAGCCCCGCGCGGCGCTCCTCCTCCCGCCCCTCGGGGTCCGACTCCTCTTCGCTGGAGGACGGGTCCAGCATGCTGCCCGGCCGCCCGCCGCCCCGCGCGGCCGCAGGTGCCTGGCTCGCCCCGGCGGCGGCGGCCCGGAATGAAAGGGAAACCGGCCGGGCTTTCCGGACACGTCGAGTTACACTCCGAGCGGCTGCCGCCCCCGGGCGCAGGGGCGGGCGGGAGCGGGGAGCCGCCGGGACGAAATAGGCGGAGTTAGCGCGGGGGGGAGGACGGGGAGGGGAGGACGGGGAGGCCGGCCCGGCCCGCCCTCCCCGCTCCGGTGCTGGGAGCCCGCGGCCGGGGCGGGGCGGGAGCGCCGGGCGCAGGTGGGGAACCTGTGGCGCCCACAACACGCAACACGTGGGCCGCACCCGGCGCGGGGCCGCGGAGTGCGCGTGCGCGCGCTGCCCCGGGTGCCGGCCCGGGCGCCCTGGTGCAGGGAGCCTGGGAGCCCAGCCTGCAAAGGGCATTGCTGGCTCTGTGTGCAGCCCCCCGGGGTTGCCTGGACGATCGTGAGCTTTTTCTCTCCCGAGCTTCCTTCCCGAGGGGCGGGAGAGGGTCGCTTTGACCCCAGCACCCCCTTTTCACCCCCCATCTTCCACCCCACCCCCCGCAGGTAAGGTTGCTGCCAGAAACTCTCTGGGACCTGGACCTGGTACCCAGATTTGAACCGGAGCAGGGAAAAGTGCGGCCTTTGCTGCTCTCCTCCAAATAACGTGGGGAAGAGACTTTGAAAAGTCTCTCTCTGCTCTGCCCTGCTGCTGTTTGGTCCTCGTGGTCAAGTTCACATTTTAAAAGTCAGAGGAACGTGCTTGGAAAGAAAAACAAAATGCAAAACACGCGAGGCTTAAAGAAATAAAATAAAATAACTTTTTATTCCTGCACACGCATGAAACAGGATGGATTTTATATTTGCTAAATCGCATACGCATTCAGCTCTCGCAGTCGGTTATTTGCTGGGTTGGGATGCGGGCGACTCCAGGCAGGGAGGCAGCGAGTCAACATTTACTCAGGGAATGTGTGAGCGCGCCCGGTGCCCGGCGCTGTGAGTGCGGGGACGAGCCTGCGGCGCCGGGCTCCCAGCACCGGTCCCGGCGGTTCTGGCCTCCAGCGGGCGCCTCCCAGCTGCACCCGGAGCCTCTCTTATCTGCGCAGATTTCTCAGCCCCAAAGCCGGAACCACCTGGAAGAGTCTGAGATTTTGTTTATGTTCTTATCCACAGAGCAGGGGAATCAGGAAAACGGGGCATTCTGCACGCGGAGCAGTGTGCGTGGCCAAGCTGGCAGGGAGGTGATAAAGCACAGGGTGGTGTCACTGAGCAGATGGAATAACTGCCTCTGAGTTTGTCTGCCCCATGGCCAAATACCAGCGGTAGCTTTTTCAAGCTTCCATCACAGTTAGGGAAACAAGAGGGAGGCGTTCCTTCTGCCTTGAGTGACATTCTCCCGAGATGGGATAAAAAGGCAAGGAGACCACTTCTCCTTCTTGTCAACTTATCAAATTTTAATGGGTGCTCACAGTGATAAAAGCGGTTCTCTGAAGGCATGACTGATCGCCAAACGTCAAGGAATAGAAAAATCTCAAAAACTGAGACTAGTACATTTAAAGACAGTGTTTCACTTCTGCCAAAGTGAACAATAAAGGGCAAACTTATTCATGTAAGCCATAGTATTTAGTGCTTATATGCATAGTTTGCGAAGTTTTCTGAATGCTACGGAAGTAACCCTTTGAGAAAGGTGATAATGATGATGATGATGACAATTGGCATTTACATTTTTGTTCCAGGTACAGCTCTAATCCCTTTACATAATCTCATTTACTTTAGTTCCCGTTGTACAGATAAAGAACCTGAGGCTTAGAGAACATTCTTTTCTACAGAGCTAACTAATGGAACAGGGACTCAACATAGTAAATCGCTTCTTGTTCCAAATAGTAGCTTTTACTACTACAATTTGTCTAATTATAAATCAGTATATACTAAATGTGTAATGATTATTAAACAATAACTAAAATAACTTTGTTCCTAGGGGCATAAAAATGCATTTGAAATATAGCATCTTTATTGCACTTCCTTTTCTTGCCAAGGAAGGGTATATTTTTCATTTCCTTCTATTAATTAGTTAATAGTATTTGGCGGGATGGCTTATTTATTCTCTTCCTATTGAAAATGGTTATCAAATTAAAGATTCTCCAAGCCTTGGACCCCACTGGAAACATCTAATAATTTTTAGAATAAGGTATACAGTTTTCTCTATGAAGATGAAAATGATTCAAAGAACATAAAGAAATATCCAAAAGACAACAAAGAGAATGTTTAAGCTCTGGCTGAATACGTATGTCAGTTGGTTAGATCATCCTCCCAATATGCCTGTTCAATCCCCAGTCAGGGCATTTTCAAGAATCAACCAATGAGCCAAAACTGGTTTGGCTCAGTGGATAGAGTTTCGGTCTGTGGACTGGAAGGTCCCAGGTTCGAGTCTGGTCAAGGGTATGTGCCTTGGTTGCGGGCACATCCCCAGTAAGGGGTGTGCAGGAGGCCACTGATCAGTGTTTCTTTCTCGTCAATGTTTCTAACTCTCTGTTCCTCTCTGTAAAAAATCAATAAAATATACTTTCTAAAAAAAAAAAAAAAAAAAAAAACAACAACCAATGAATGCACGAATAAGTGGAAGAACAATTTGATGTTTCTCTCTCTTCATTCCTCTCTCTGTCTCTAAAATTAATAAATAAAAATTTTAGAAAAGTGAATGTTTAAGGATTTCATTAGTTAAACATACTGTACATTGTTAAGAACCTAACATACGTTAAAATGATGCTGGGCATACTTAGAACAAGATACAGACTCTGACCTTAATAAGGTTAAGGAATGACAAATGAGAAAAACATTTATTTACTTAAAATAAATGTTTATTTGAAAAAAAACTAATCAGAAAATAAATATTGGTATTGCAATCTGATGATGGTAGTGCAGAGAAAAAATACTTAATTGAGGAGAGTAAGGGAAGGCTTTCAGGATTCTTGACGTGCATTTTGAAGAATGATTTAGAGCTTCTGGGCAAGGGCACTTTCGGCAGAAGGAACTGCATTTGCAAAGGCATTAAGTTATTTGCCTCAGTGGACAGCTGCAAGTAAACTGGTCTACCAGCAGTGAGGGATACATATGAAGATGGGGGAGATGAAACTAGAAAGTGCGCAGAGACAAATTCAGCATGGAGCACAACAGCAGACAGGTATCCAGGGCCTTGTATGGCATGCTTTGGAATTTAAACCATATCCTAAAGAAAACAGGGAAACACTTAAAGGTTTAAGTAAGGTAAGACATAAGTTGATCTGTTACTCCTTTTTTTTTTTTTTTTTTTTTTTTTTTTTTTTTTTTTTAGTGGTTGTGCTTTTTTTTTTTTCTTTATTGATTAAGGTATTACATATGTGTCTTTATCCTCCCATTGCATACCCTGACCTGCTCCTGCTCATGCCCTCAACCCCCTAGTGTCTGTGTCCATTGCTTAGGCTTATATGCATGCATACAAGTCATTTGGTTCTTCTCTTCCCCTTCTCCCCACCCTCCTCTGCCTTCCCTCGGAGGTTTGATGTCTGATTGATGTTTCTCTGTCTTTGGATCTGTTTTTGTTCATCAGTTTATGATCTGTAACTCTTAAGAGTCAATTTGGAGTAATGTAAAAGCAGTGAAATCAGAGGCAAGATACCAAGAGATTACTAAGGAAATCTGTGAGGGAAACAGTGAGGGCTTGAATATAAGACAAGAGACAAAGAGAGAAAGAAATCTTAAAAGATGAACAAAGGTATCAATAGCATATGTATGAGAAACTGAGGGAGAGGGTCAAAGATAGAAGATGATTCCCAAGATAAGATAACTTGACTGATAATGGATGAGATATGGACTTCTAGGAAATGACCAGATTTGGAGAAACATCGAGTTTTGAGGTGTTCATCAGAGAGACCCTAATCTCTGTTGGAAATACAAATGTGATACTCAAATCTAGATAAGGAGATCGTGAGCATATAGGTGAAAGTTGAAGCTACAGATATAGATGATCATAAGGTCCAGAGATCCTTTGTTCAAGGTGAGAAGAGGAAGAATGATGAGTCTCTGGGGAACCCTCCCTACCTCCTCGCCAATTAAAGGTGGATGGAAGAAAAGGAACCTTTGAAAAGAAAACCTGACCATTAAAAATTAATTATGCCCTAATAATTTCTAATGAACATTTTCAACTTTGCATGTACACTAATGTTCTTAACCAAATTTCTATAAACAATGTTAGCTTTTCTAGTAATTATAACATTAGTTGATGCGATGCTCTGGGATAATTGAATAAATGATACCCAACATGAGATTGCTATTGGTTTGTGCCATTTCAGAAATACAAGAAATACACTGGAATTTAGTCAGTGACTCATTTTAACTTTTGCAAAGGTGAGCATAAAAATAAATTGAAGTTATACTGCTTTTTAATGAAACACCTCTAATGCTGGTAAAAGATGGATGCACGGTAATAAAATAGAATATAAATATGTTTTAGCAATGATATTTAAGAAAACTGGACTGTGGTAGATGGTCTGTTTGCTGGTTGAAAAATGGTTTGTGCACTTGACATGGAAGGAAGCTATTAACTCTTTCAAGTCACAGATGAAATCATTTTTTCATTTGAACAGACATTGTTTGGGCACCCACTCTAAGCTATACAATATTCTGATTAGATAAAAAGATAAATAAATACAAGTTTGACCCTACTTGGTTTGGCTTAGTGGATAGAGCATGGGCCGAAGGCCTGAAGGGTCCAAGTTTCAATTCTGGTCAAGGGCCTATACCTCAGCTGCAGGCTCAATCCCCTCCCCGACTGGGCTATGTGCGAGAGGCAACCAACCCAGGTATCTCTCTCACATCCATGTTTCTCTCTGTGTCTCTCGCCATCCCTTCCACTCTCTCTAAAAATCAATGGGAAAATATCCTAGGTTGAGGAATAACCAAAAGAAAGTTTGTCTTTAAGGGAATACATATGAAACAGACATG